CTTGCCCACTGCGTCCTCCGGGCTCATCTGCAGACCTCCTTGCACAAGTCGCTGTGGCAGCGCTTCCGCATGGCTCACGCAGGAATGAATGAATGGCTGGGCGCTGCCTCTTGATTTATACTTCAGAAATTCGTTGGTCTGCCCTTTGCCATCGGCCCTTGGTGCTCACAGTCCCCCTGTGGTACTTGCTGGACTGGACTGGGACTCTCTAGACCCTTCTGCTGACTGTAGGCAGTCGTACCGTCGACTCAGTGCAGTTGCACCGAGGTCCTACCTGTTGACCTTGCCACTTGTCTTCGTCTGAAAACGTGGGCCTACCTTAGACTCACCACTTGACCACTTGCCGACCTTCTAGAAGGACTAAAGCTAGGCCTCTGGACTCTACTTGGACTCCTACCTTACAGGTCTACAGTTCGAATCTCCCTACAGCCTACAACCTACGGCGACCTACTTACCACTGGCTATCGAGCAGGTCACGGGTTCAACTCCAGGGAACTGTGCAGATACTGTACACAGGTAAGCTGAGGTCAAGGGATCGACCCCTGGGATCTGCATCGGCTACTGCCAAAGGTGAAAACTGTTTCAACCCTAGTACTCCTTATTGGGGGTATAAACCGGCAACTTCTACTCCTTATCGGGGTATATCGGGGTATAAATTACCATAGAACTCCTGATTGGGGGTATAAACCGGTAACTTCTACTCCTTATCGGGGTATAAATTACCCTAGAACTCCTTGACCGGTAACTTCTACTCCTTATTGGGGTATATCGGGGTATAAATTACCCTAGAACTCCTGATTGGGGGTATAAATGATCGTAGAACTCCTCATTGTCGGATAATAAGCTTTGCTATCGAATAAGAAAAAAGTTACTGGGATAAGAAAAAGGGATACTGGGGATCAAAAGAAGTTACTGGGATAAGAAAAGGTTACTGGGGATCAAAAGAAGTTACTGGGATAAAAAAAAGTGATTGGATGAAAACTTGAAAATCCTAGAACTCATTATCGGATAATAAGCTTTGCTAGAGAATAAGAAAAAAGTTACTGGGATTAAAAAAGGGCTACTGGGGATCAAAAGAAGTTACTGGGATTAAAAAAAAAGGTGATTGGATGAAAACTTGAAAAGGTACTGGGACACGTTATATAGGTATACAGGATAAGTTATCCGGTGATATAGTTATACGACGTAGTGGCCATCATCATGTGAACGTATACAACCCGTGTTTTTTGCGAGCCAAATGCAGTCGTATTATGATGCTGAGTCATTGTGTTCCCGGGAAGGTAAGCTAGGCCAAAAGGGAGGGAGGGAGGCGAAAAGGTTTAAAAAAAAAAAAAAGAAAAAAAAAAAAAAAAGTGGGCAGGCTGGCTGAGTTTGAAAGTGTGGAGCCTGCTCCACAGATCAGCATTGAGGATTGAGGATTGAGGATTGAGGATTGTTCCTCCCTGCCCCGCGCGCCCAACCCCCACATCCCACCAACCGAAAAAAAAAGGAAAAAGAAAAGCATCAAGATTTACCCCCTTGGATCACAGTTCAGAGTCTTCAGACAGAGTTCACAGACCCCGAGATTCCTAGTACCGGCTTCGCCCGAATAGAACGCCCCGTTCATTATCGCTGCATTTGGACTGAAGGTTGCCCCAAATACAGCTGTAATGACCGGGCCGTTCTATTCGGGCGAAGCCGGTAGTGCAGGAGATAAACCAATGCACAATTTTACAAATCTCCGAGGCAATTAAAGATTCTGAAGCAAAAGTTTACCACGGGAGAGAGAGAGAGAGAGAGAGAGAGAGAGAGAGAGAGAGAGAGAGAGAGAGAGAGAGAGAGAGAGAGAGAGAGAGAGACACACA